TTTTGCCAATTATTTTGATCTAAAATAATCTAAACTTTAATGACAACAATTACTTTTTATCAAAAATAAACAAGTTTTGAAAGCAAAGCCCATGGCTCAAATAAAAAAATATCTTTATCTTTATTTCATCACCCTTTCTTGCCGGTTTTTGCCAAATTATGATTGAATGTGTGATCTTTTGATAACCTCCCAGAGTCGGTGCACCAGTCTTTTTCCATTAAGCCTTCTTGTCTCGCAGTGGAGCTCGCTGTCAAGTCCTTGCGAAACTTTTTCATTCATAAAATAGTATGGCTCATAAAGTCGGTGCCCCAAATGTTCCAAACTGAAATGTGGGGTTTTAATCGTTATTGTCTTGCTGTTAACTATAATCGGAACGTTTCTATTTATGAAGAATCCATACAAGAAACCAGAAATTGTTTGCAATTCTTAAAAATCAATAATTGATAGTTGTACGGTGTTGTGAAATTTAAATAGTTCCATTCATAAAAAAGAAGTTTGAAGAGCCAGTTGCAAACAAGGCTCTCCTAAATCACGCGATCAGCACACCGAGAGCAAAGACAGCCGAGATTTGTGAAATACAATGTTTCATTGAAGTCAAATGTGAATCATACAAGTTTGGTCCAAATGAGGATGTTGGTTACTTGTGTGACATGAGTGATTCCGATGGTGTTTGAGATCCAGACGACTTGAGGGCACGGCAAGGCTCCCTTCACCGCGCAACAAAGGTATCATGGGTAGGGAATGTAGTGAAAAGTATAACATGAAAATAGAGAAATTGCTTTTTGATAGAGATGAGTTTCTTGACTTTTGGACCACGAAATGTTGGCTCAAAACTTCGCAAAGCTCGGAAAAACCTCTGGACAGCAATGGAAATTGCATGTATTGGCTAACGTTCTGATTTGACATCAAGAAAACTTCGCTAACTCTGCATTTTGTCGTTGCCTGCTTCAAGTTGTAAAACTAAATTAATACAGTGACTTATTGTCATATTACAGTGCGTGGAGAGCCGATTGGGCCAGATTAGACGTTATGTAAATGTAGTAGTTGTAAGTTCTTGCTAAAATTTTTATTCTGCCAAGAGGTTGCGTGTAGGATGATATTTGCAAAATTTTCCACATTCAATTAGAAACTTCAACAAATTAACAAAGAAATTTTTCCATTTTTTCTTTATTTGATACCTTTATTCATGTAAAGATCTCTTTGTCTTCTGAACATCTTGCGAAAAACCAAAACAGGCTGGTTCTTTTTGTTTAATTTACGCATTATTTTCTTTTGCATTTCGTAAAAGAATCCATGTGGTACCGCTCAGTGTCCTCCAAACTCACGATGTTATTCAGATTTTGAACACGAGACCTATCTCTACGTTTGTTCACCGGAATGTACTGGAGACAAGTGCTAAGGCAGGTGAATGAGTGTAATAAGTTTGGTATTGCCTACTACATAATCCTGTGTCGCTCCCTTCATCGGTTTTCAAAGAGATTTTTCGAAGAGTTTTATAGAATTTTAAATTAATGAGTAACACATAGAAATTAAAACACGAGGCACACTCCCGATGAATCACGGGTTGGAGGGGGAACATGAAAACTAAATTTCGTTGACTCAAACGATCAGTAATGCTGGAGGTAGGTTGATATTTTGTGTATTTGGACGAGTGCACAGACGGGAACCATGCCTGTCACGTGAACGCCATATGTAACAATTCTGAGAGGTCATACAGCTGTTTGTGCAAGGATGGATATAAAGGCGATGGGTTTATATGTGAAGGCGAATATTTATAGAGTTTTGGTTCCAGTTGAAATATAAATTAATTTCTACTCCAGTAGGTAGAGAATCTATTGTAATAAAGGCAACTGCAGTGGGATAGAGGATCCCCTGAGGCTGTATTGAGTAGTGCCACTCTTTCTAAAGACAAGTTCAGGGAGACATCTAGGAGCCGAATAGTTAAGCACTTTCAACATTTCCTTACATTTTGAGGTGACTCGCTGAATGTCTATGATTTCCTTGCCTAAGGAACCGAGAACTTTGGTTCCGTGATGCTTTTACAAATTTAACTTGGCAAATTGATGAATAAAGTGAGGTGGTTTGTTTAGTTGTTGTTGTTTTTTTTTTTTCGTTTGCTCCTTTTTTGCAACTATTCTACTCCTATAGAACGAAAAAGCTGCGCCAAACTGCTTCGAGACGGTTGAAACTCCAGTGGCGTACAGATACCATCAATCCAGATGGTGGCAATTCAATTCAAGTGTTGTGTGATGTGACAACGGAAAGTGGAGGTCGGACCGTTTTTCAGAGACGTTTGGACAGCTCTGTTGACTTCTATCGTGGATGGGAATCCTACAAAAACGGCTTTGGAAATCTGAGTCGTGAGTTCTGGCTTGGAAACGACAATACACACCGTTTGACAGACTCTGATGACGTCATACTGAGAGTTGACTTGGAAGACTTTGAAGGGAACATCACTTACGCTGAGTACACGACATTTAAGGTGGCAGACGAGGCTGACAAGTATCAGCTTCTGATTAGAGATTACAGAGGTACCGCTGGTGACTGCATGGCTGGGAGACATTCCTTAAGGTAAATGAGATCGTAACCACAAAGAGAAACTAAATAGGATCCAAAATCCTATGTGTATAGAGAATTGATAAACTAATTGACTAATTGTTTAAGAGGTGGGATGATTACCGGTAATTGAAACGATTTTGGACTTAGTGATTAAGAGGCTGACTAAATAAATTTTTAACTGACTGATGATGGATTGACAGATTGATTGACTGATGATTTCCTGTTTGATTGATTGATTGATTATTTGACTGAGTGATAAACTTATTTTCTAATTGACTAAATGACTGATTGATTGCCTAATCGTTTGAACGATTCATTATAGCAAGATGTTGTTTACGACGAAAGATGTGGACAACGACTTGAGCGTTGACAACTGTGCGCTGTTGTACAAAGGAGCTTGGTGGTACAGGTATTGTCATAATTCTAACCTCAATGGATTATATCATGGAGGATCATTCAGTGATTCGTATGCAGATGGTGTCTCTCGGAATTCTTTCAGAGGAAATTCATACTCACTGAAACGTACCGAGATGAAAATGAAGCCTTCAAATTGAAAATAACTAAATAGTGCTAAAAGCTGTGCCTCACAGTTTCATGGTGGAGTACCATCACAGACGTAGAGTATTTTTAATTAAAGCTAACAGTAGTTAATGTTAAGAGTAGTAGGTCCGGAATATATCTGGTATAGTCAATTTGGCAAATTTAGGGCCCTCAATGTGAAAAAGCTAGCTAGTTTTTAGATTTGCCATACCTCTCTGGCTTAGAGGGCTTTATTAACTTCAACTTTTTTGTTGAAAAGGAATGGCTTGCATTTGTGTTAAGTCGTAATAATTTATTCCAAAATACGAACTTTAAGAAAATGACATCCTATGTAAGGTATGTTTAGAGACTGAAACTTTGGTTAGGAGCAGTAATGTATGTTGATTTAAACTTTGATAAAATTCGACTCGTTTTGAAATTTCTAACAAAATCACTCAGGAGGCAAAATGTATTTCAAGACTACTATTTCCAAAACCCTTTTAGTAGGATTCTCCCTGCAGCTTGTAGTGGAAGCATAAGGACAAGAAGTCCAATGGCCGTAACATCATTGTAGCTAACATCATTTCGCACTCCGGCCACGCAATACGTTCGTCTCTTCTTCTCGATTTATCCTTTCTCCACTATAGTTGCCGACGTGTCTTCATAATTTCTACGTCACAACTTTGTAACATGATCGTTCTGACCGCGAGCTTCATGGAGACACTTTTTGGCCGCCAAGTCAGGTAGCCCCCTACTCAACAAACGATAGAGTCTCGTTAACTTACTGTTTTAATTTTGGAAATTTCCTTTGCACCTGCCAGCCTTGTTAAGCGATCGAAATTAGGTAAACGTTTATTTTTCTTCATCATAAGCTTTCTGACGGTGAAGACTACACAGGCATCTCTATTTAATTTTCTTTTCTTTATTTATTCTTCGCGTAACCGTTAGAATAATAAAAAAGACTAAAAATGTTGGAAAGGTCGTTTCGCAACCTCAGCGGGGTTGAAAAATTTATGTTTGATAAAACGAGAGCCAATAATTTGTTGGGGAAAACGAAAGAAATGACAAGTGGGCAAAGAAAGCTAAAGAAAGGAAAACTATATCTTTTATTATTTTGGACCGGGTGTTCTCGAAAGTTCTATCCAGGGTGACTATTTTGACCCTATGATGAAGATTCTCATTTCTCAAACGTTTTGTTGTGCGGTGCAAGACGCGATGTAAACAAACCATGTAATTGAAGACTCTTGACGAAATCGGGCGAAAACACACTACAGGAGGCCTCTGGGCTATGAAAATAATGTGACACCTTTCCAAAATCTTTTGAGAAAATATTTAAATATCGATATTTATCTGTCCCAAGAGTGCCGGAAGCGATGTAAACAAACTATGCAATTGAAGATCTTACATTAACGCCGGCGATAACACACTATCAATCAATCAATCAACTTTATTTAGTGTCTAAAACTTCTAGTCAGCCCGGAGGCCCTTAATAAAAAAGGCTAAAAATGTAGTCTATTCCGGCATTAGGGATTTGCTTGGATTCTCCTTGCAGCTTGTAGTGGAAGCATAAGGACGAGAAGTCCAATGGCCGTAACATCATTGTAGCTAACATCATTTGGCGCTCCGGCCACGCAATACTTTGGTCTTTTCTTCTCGATTTATCCTTTCTCCACCATAGTTGCCGACGTGTCTTCACAATTTCTACGTCACAACTTTGTAACATGATCGTTCTGACCGCGCGCTTCATGGAGACACTTTTTGGCCGCCAAGTCAGGTAGCCCTTCACTCAACAAACGAACAAACAATAGAGTCTCATTAACTTACTGTTTTCATTTTGGAAATTTTCTTTGCACCTGCCAGCCTAGTTAAGCGATAGAAATTAGGTAAACGTTTATTTTTCTTCATCATAAGCTTACTGACGGTGAAGACTACACATGCATCTCTGTTTAATATTTTTTCTTTGTGCCGTTGTGTACGGCATAAACCGTATCTCAGAGCCAGATTTGAAGGCTGTTAACTTTGCTGACGAGATAGAGAGGAAAAAGCTGGATGGAAGCCTCATAAGAGAGGTAGAGGTTGATTCGGAAAGTTCCTGTCAGTTAGAGTGTTTAGGTAAAGAGCGATGTCAGTCCTACAACTTTGGAACCATAATGGGTGACTCAAAGAAATTCAAGTGTCAACTAAGCGGCTCTGATCGATTTGCTGGATTTGCTAACTTTACTGAAGATAACGATTTCATTTACAGAGGAATAAAGGTATTTGACGTACTTTTTCGTAATGTTACAGCAATAGCCATTGCCTTGGTGAAAGACTCTTAGTATCGTAAATTGTAGGTGAATTTGTTCAGAATATCTTCTAAATTTACTGTCAGCCTTATCATTCATCGAACCAATTTAGAATCGTAGGAAAGGTCGTTTCGCAACCTCAGCGGGGTGGAAAAATTTATGTTTGATAAAACGGGGTCCAATAATTTATTGGGAAAAACAAAAGAAATGAAAAGTGGGCAAAGAAAGCCAATGAAAGGAAAACATCTTTAATTATTTTGGACTGGTCCTTCTCGAAGGTTCTATCCAGGGTGACTATTTTGACCCTTTGATGAAGATTCTCATTTCTCAAACGTTTTGCGAAATGTTGTGCGGTGCAAGACGCGATGTAAACAAACCATACAATTGAAAACACATTACAGGAGGCCTATGGGCTATGAAAATAATGTGACACCTTTGCTAAATATTTTGAAAAAATATTTAAATATCGATATTCATCTGTCCCAAAATTGCCAGAAGCGATGTAAACAAACTATGCAATTGAAGATCATAGACTAACGCCGGCGATAACACACTATCAATCAATCAATCAACTTTGTTTAGTGTCTAAAACTTCGGCCGACTAATCGGGGACACTCCCAATAAAATTACAAATGAATTAACTTAAGTTAAGATAAGTGAAAATTAGCTAGCACTTGCTAAAATATATATAAATATCTAGAATTCCATTTATATTTTAAAATACGGATTAAAAAATAATAATTTCTACCTATACAACAATATACAAACTTTAAGTATGTCTAAAATTCTAAACACACTTCGGACAATTCCCTGTACAGACGTACTTTGAAACTAGGTTCGCGAGGTCTTTTCTGCAGATGTTTGAGATAAATGATGTTAGAGTTTGCATTTGTCTGTCGCTATGTCCAAGTTTTGACCACAAATATGGTCCGAGTGAGGGAATGTTTGAGGCTTTTGGGATGTAACATGGCGCCTGTCGCTAAATCTATTCAAACTAAACAATGTCACTCTTAACTGTCTGAACAAATATCGATATTCATCTGTCCCTAGGGTATTCATGCTTTTATTTCTCTGCTCTACCACTCACGAAAGTTACTCAGAATCCGTGTTTTAATGTCTCTCTACATAAGAACTATGCGGAAGTCCCAGTAGAGAGTTGCATGTTGTTGTCCATGATCGACGACAAAATTAATACGTTAAATAACATTGGTCTTATTTTTAACATCAATTTTGTTCGAGAATGTTTTTGCGTCCTTTTACCTGGCTTAATCCATTTGGAACGTCTCATCGACGAAAAATTTCGATTCCTTTTATCTCTTCTTTGAAAGAACCCCCCAAAGAAAGTTTAAGAAGCACTTGAGAAATACATACCCTTTAAAAACCCTTTTTATTTGATATAAAGAATAATTCATGTAAAGGGAATTTTTCTTCACAGAGCGCTTGTGAGGAGGACAGTTTTCAATGTGGCGAAAAAGGAATTTGCATTCCCAACTATAATGATGGCAGCGTAAGATGCAAATGTGACGGTGGCTATACTGGAAAACCCTGCAGTAAGTTTAGATGTCACTTTGTTTTACTATTTTACAAGAACTATTTTATAATCCTCTTCATTTTCCTCTCAATAGAAGCGAGAAGTTGCTATCAATTGTTTCAAGATGGTCTCAATTCCGGTGGTGTGTACACCATCAATCCAGATGGCGGTAAACCGATACAAGTACTGTGTGATATGAATACGGACAGTGGAGGTTGGACTGTTTTTCAGAGACGTTTGGACGGCTCTGTTGACTTCTATCGCGGATGGGAATCCTACAAAAACGGCTTTGGAAATCTGAATGGTGAGTTCTGGCTCGGAAACGACAATGTACACCGTTTGACAGACTCTGATGACGTCATGTTGAGAATTGACTTGGAAGACTTTGAAGGGAATATCGCCTACGCCGAGTACACGACTTTTAAGGTGGCAGACGAGGCCGACAAGTACCGGCTTTTGATTGGAGGATACAATGGTACTGCTGGTGACTCTATGGCTGAAGGACATTCCCTAAGGTAAAGGAAATCGGAATCACAAAGTGCCAAAGGAATATTATTTAGATTCGGTGTTTGCCCTCGATTACTAATTGACCTTAACCCTATGGCTTTCGATTGGAGGATATAATGGCACGGTTGGTGACTCTGTAACTGCATTACTGACTAACCCTAACCGTATGAGTATTAACATATCGATTGAAAAATTGTTTAATAGGAGGGATGATTAGTGGAAACAATATTAAACTTAATGATTAAGAGACTGACTGAATGATTGATTGACTGATAAATTGAACGATTAATTGACTTATCAATTAAATGACTGATTGATTAACTGAGTGATTGACTTATTGCTTAATTGATTTCCTGATCGATTGACGGATTGATTGCCTAATTTTTTAATGATTTCTCATAGCAATATGTCGTTTACGACGAAAGATGAGGATAACGACTTTAGCGGTCAGAACTGTGCACTGTTGTTCAAAGGAGCTTGGTGGTACAACGATTGCCATCATTCTAACCTCAACGGCTTATATCATGGAGGATTATTCAGTGATTCGCCTGCAAATGGTGTCTCTTGGAATTCTTTCAGAGGAGCTTGGTACTCCCTGAAACGTTCCGAGATGAAAATGAGGCCTTCAAACTGAAAATAACTAAATACTGCTCAAAGCTGTGCTTTACAGTTTCATGGTGGAGTACTATCACAGACACGGAGCATTTATAATTAAAGCTAACAGTAGTTAATGTTCAGGATAATAGGTCCTAAATATATATAGCATAGTCAATTTGTTTTCCCTTATCATTGAGGCTAATTTAAGGCCCCAATTGTGAAAAAGATAGCCAGTTTTTAGACTTACCACATCTCTTTGAGTTTATGGCTTTAGTAAATTCAACTAGTTTGTTGAAAAAGAATGGCTTCCATCAGTGTTTAGTCTTGATAATTTATCCCCAAAGATGAACTCTAAGAGATAGACATCATATTTAACTGAGATATGTTTTAAGACTAAAATTTTGGTCAGGAACAGTTGTGTGGGTTAATAAAGATTCGACTTAAATTACTTGGTGTAAAGGGTGAGATAGGTGGAAATATTATACAGACTACTTGAAATTGCCTCCTGAAGAAAGAAAAATTAAAAAAAAACAAAAAAAAGTCTCACCCACAGCTGTACCACAGCTTCATTTGGTTCCAGGCTATGCACACGACAAAGCACTGCTCGAGTGGCTCTCAAGAAAGATCCGCGAGCGATGATTTTCTTCACCAATCGCTTGTGACTGGCCCAAGGAACTAGCACAATAAATCTATTAGATTGCGAATATGCATTCTGTACAAGCGGGTGAACGACTTCACAGAACATAAACTACCGCTTTGCACTTGTCATTTAAACAATTTTGTTTTGTTTTACACATAACTTATTTCCAATAAACATCATAAAGATGAAACAAGGACATTCAGTTTCCCTTATTACCTACAGCCGATAATTGTTCTCGTCGTATCGTATGATGTGAAGTGAAATAGATGACAACCAGTAATTTCTTATTTTGAATGACATGGCACAAACTTGATCTATAGTTCTTTGATGCACTCTTTTAAAGCTTTCGTAAAGACGATGAAGACATGCCAAGTGAACGTATTGTTATTTATATTTTAGTAAGCTGGACTCGTTTGTAAAGTTCATCGTTTATTTGCCTTTCGTACTGTTTGCGTAACCTTCCAGAGGAAAACAAAAATAGCTTTGTAGCTGCAAATTTGATTCACGTTCAAGATTTGCAACCAGGATTCCAACTCGACCAACTACACCCGTGAGTATGGTGAATTAAAAAGACGAATGCACCGTTTGACACACTCTGATGACGTCATGCTGAGAGTTGACCTACGCTGAGTACACGACTTTTAAGGTAGCAGACGAGGGCGACAAATACCGGCTTTTGATTGGAGAATACAGTGGTACTGCTGGTGACTCTATGGCTGAAGGACATTCCCTAAGGTAAAGGAAATCGGAATCACAAAGTGCAAAAGGAATATTATTTAGATTTGGTGTTGGCTTTCGATTGGAGGATACAATGGCACGGCTGGTGACTCTGTGACTGCAATGCTACATCCATTACACTAAGAAACCCTCAATTACCATTTCCCGCTTACGAAGGGCTAACGTCAGCTTTGTAAATACTTACTGTGGCAAATTTATGTTATCAAATCCGTTGATGAAACCAAAATTACCTTAATTACCAGGTTTATTATGAATTCAGTATTCAAAGAGTGGATGTCACAAGAAAGGCTGATGACTTTATGGCATATCGTAGATCAGAAAGTGTTTTGATTGGATTTTGAACCTGAGGCCGGATTTTACATTGGCACAAAAACGATTAATGGTGTTTAAATTTTTGGTCGACGACTAAAAAAAAAAGAAAAGAAAAAAAAAGGGGGCAGCCCTCAGCCTACTTCTATCTCTCTTCTTTTCTATTTGGTTGTCTGCTTGCTACTCCTGTAATCATGGGGGGAAACTGCAGTTTCCTCAAAACTTCAACTGAATTAAGGAGTCGTGTTCTCAAATTTCAAGATATCTCAGTGGAAAGAAAACCAAACCGTTGTTAGAACTTTTGACGGTTGTACTAACGAGGTTTAGAGACCGGTTGAAAGCTTAGATATAGAAAGAACGAAATAGAGAATCTGTTACAATGTAAGCTGATGTTAAAGATGCAATCAACTGGCCAACCAAAGATGTTATTATGAGCTTCAAATAAATTGGGTGTAGGATCTCAGATTGTCTATCTGTTTGTCTACTTGGGTGTTTATCTCTCCTGTCTTTGTGGAAATTTATCCACATAACTCCATACAACTAAGTTGCATAGTTTTTAATAGAAAAGATTCTCTACATATTCACAACAAGCTTAAACGAACTTTTTTTTCATTTCAGCAATATGCAGTTTTCTACAAAAGATCAAGAGAATGATTATCGTATTCACGTGCCCAGCTGAGCTCAATCTTTTAAGGGGGCCTGGTGGTACAGAAAGTGCCATAGGTCCAATCTGAACGGAATGAACCTCAATGGTCCCCATGCCACTTTGCTAATGGAGTCAATTGATACACCTTTAGGGGGTATTATTAGTCACTAAAACGTACCGTGGTGAAATTAAAAACGAAGGCATAGGGCGATCTCTATGCGAGAGTGAACGAAAAGGAAACAACTTGGACTTAAATCCGCGCTAAACCTAACTCAGCAAATAAATACGTTTATGCGATGACACCCTGAATTAAATTGAACTGAACTATTTCTTTCTATAGCTTTGAATACAATTTATACCGACTGAAAATAATTTAGAGGTACCTAGAACTGTGGTTAAAAATTTCATGATCGATTGCCACCACGGACAGGGGGCGTTCATTTAAGTGTAATTTACAATAGTGAATAAATTTAGCGTAGTCAATTGGTGAATGCAATCTTTGAAGTTGGCTAAAATGCACTCAAATTGATAATTTAATCATCATTTTGATTTGCCACGTTTCTTCGGAAGTCAGGGATTTAGTGGATCCAAGTATTTTGTAGAAAAGGAATGGCTCACATTTCTGTTTAGTCGTGACAATTTATGCCAAAATAAGAACTTCTAGAGATAGGCATCATGTGTAAGGTATGTTTAAAGGTGGACATTTCAGTTATGAATAGGGCTTTTTTTACTTTGATCCTAGGATTCTAGTTCAATCTTACTCAATATATAGAATATCCCTGACATGTAAGTTGTACAGACATTGTAGATACACAATACATAAACGAATAAGTGGATAGTGACCAAACTTTAAATCTGGATATGTAACAAAAGTTGTCAACGTTTATCATAAGGGATATCTTGTTGCACTGGAACCTTTTCGTTTAAAAATCTTGAGCTAGTATGCATGTTTGTCAATTATATGATATTTGCTGAAAACAGTATGACGAAACGTTACAGCCTAAATTTCACCTACGTTGCCTTAAGCTGCAATATTTTAGAATCTAGAACACAAAGACCACAGGCAACCCAAGCTAACGTCTAAAAAGCCAGCGATTAATTCATGAAAGCGTCACGCGTTGTGTGACACGGTGTTAAGTTACGAGAGAAACCTCTGAGAATTTGAACACTTTATAAGGAGTATTGTGGGAAACAAAATATGGTCGATTTACAGAGATAAATATTTCGAAATATGAACATTTTACACGTAAAATTAATAAAACTTACTCATATCTTGTGTGTCCCTTGTAGTTTCTGGCGATTTCTGCTCTTTTAAGCTTGCTTTACCATCACTTTACCAAAAGACAAAGTCTTCTTACAGGAACAACACAAATGCAAAAGCAAGCTTTTAACGGCAGAAATCGCCAGAAACCACAGCGGACACACGAGATGTGAGTAAGTACTTTGATTTTACGCGTAAAATGTTCATATTTCGAAATATTTATTGTTGTAAATCGACCATATCTCGTTCCCCTTACTATTCCATATAACGTGTCAGTATAAAGTCTCAACGTTATAAAGTCCCAACAGTTCCTCTCGTTACTTAACACCAAGTCACACAACGCGTGACGCTTTCACGATTAATCGTTCGCTTTTTCACGAGGCGTGAGCTTGGGCCTCTTATGCAAAGACCAGCAAAAGCCCTTCATTAGGCTATTAAACCGAGTCTCAATCTGACAGTAATACAGTCACTACTGGGCAAACGTTCTCATACTTCAAGCTGGTTACCATTTTTTTAAATAATACATTTTAGTTCTCTTATAGAAACTGATAGATGTGTATTGCTTCGAGGTATGCGATGCGAATGAACTCGAGTGCCTTTTACGTGCATCCCGATAAGTTAATAAAAGCTACACGTTCATGAATATATCGAGTTTTACTTTAACCTTTCAGATGAGAGATTCTTCAGCCCTTGTAGGCGCTTGTATCTTAGATATCTGATATTTGAGTAAACAACTTTAAAGTACTTTTTCTAGCCGTAAGGTCTCTTCGCGTGAATTCAGTTCTAGCTCAAACTAGTCTGCTAAAACACGTGATTTAAGCCTAAAAGTGTATTGTGCAATATTTTTCTGGTTTTTTCAGCAGTAGACACCTGCGAAATTTGTATGAATTTTATGCTTTACCAGAATCCGGAACTCAGTTCTGTCGTTAGCAACAAATACATCACTGACATTGTCGACGCTACGAAATTTTCTAGAAAAATAATCTTTACATTAGGTAGAAACTAAACACACCTTGAAGGAGTTCCAAAGTTTTCCGTCAGATTTTGAATATATTAACAGTGTCATAGAAACATGAAATTGTCGAGACAACAAACGAGAATCTTGCAAATTTTTGTCTTTCACCCGTAATTTTATGAATTTTTTTATTGTTACTCCGATTCTTAGAGCCGATTGCGTTGATTATTCACTTTCTTTAAATTGCGCAAAAACATTCCAAAGATGTGTTTAGAATTTGGAAAAAATCTTTTCCATTAAAATTACAACAGCCTTTCATAAAAAGGCTCTATCGTGAATGATTCCCTGCTGAGAGGCATAGGGATTCTCTTAAGTTGGAAAATTAATTTGTATGCCACCTTGCGCCTCGTCTTTCTAAACATTTATTACGACAATGAATTTGCACGTGCAGTGATTTTTCATTTAAAGAATGTTATCCGCGGTTAACCGTTTATCTGATCGGGTTCTCCTATGATACTTACTTTTCACTCCTTTCTTTGGGTACACACAGCCGGATTTGCTTAAATATCGTAGGCGTTCTCTCGTAGCTTAGTGAGCATTATTACTTTAAAGTCGACATCACTTTTATTTGATCTTCGGCTGTCATTTCGAACAACAGGGGCCTCATGAAAATAATAATCTGTCACACATTAGAATATCCTTTGATATTCCCTTTTTTTTTTTTTGTCTGTTTGGATCCTCGAAATAGATCCGCTTAATGCTGTTAATGATGTTGCCCGGAAAGACTGCCTAATAAATTTGCCTTGAACAATTTTTTTCCAGCTGTGTTTCATTACTACAATGTAAAATAATGAAAAAGTTTGATTTCGTCAGGACAGTCAACACCGATGATGGAGATACTGAACATCAAAGTTCTCGATCAATCTATTGTTGCTTTTGACATTCACAATCCAGTTTAATTTTCAAAGTTTTCATAAACAAACCTAGTCATTAATAAGCAAACAATAGAAATGGTATTCATTAGTTTGGTACGAACTGGTATGTAAATAGATTCGAGTCACTCTGCGGCCAAACAGCGGCAAGGAGACGGTCCTTCAGAGAAAAAAAATATATTTATCCTCTAGTTTTGCCTGATAAATTTCCCTATTTGAGCACGTATCGACGTCATCGCGGTGTATTTTTGTTTCATTTCCTGCGGCATTCATCTGCCCTATATATAGCACGTCAATCTCGCTTTTCTCGCACTTTCTTCACGCTATCATCGAGGAAGGCTTATCGAATATAACATCCTGCTGAGGAACAAACGTAAGTGAGCTGTCAACCATGTTTGGATCACTAAACACACTTTGAAGGAAATCGACCTATAAAACTCTTGGGGCTGGGACACAGCTTGCAACTGAAGAGGTTTCAGTGTCAGGAAAAACCTGACTCTAAAAGTAACTGAAAAAATTCAATATAAAAAGGTTCAACTTCACCCACAGAAAAAACGCGTTTATCAACATGGAAGACAATGTTTCTCAACCGCACTTTCCCAACACATTGAGCAATCGATCAACTTTTCAGATAGCCGTGGACGTTGCACCTCTCCTCGTTATAAACCTGGCCGCTCTTTTTGGAAACGTACTTTTATGTATTGCATTCTTTAAGAACAATAACCTACGGTCAGTGACAAATATATTTGTTTTGACACTGGCGGTGTGTGATATCTCAATGTCCATTACATCCATGCCTCTGTCAGAAAGTGCTCTTATTGCTGGAGAATGGATCTTTGGGGAATTCCTCTGCCACTTTCAAGGATTTCTGACCCTCTTTTTGGCATTCCTTTCGCTTCAGATGATGGCAATGACAGCTGTAAATCGCTACTATCGAGTTTTAAAGCCAGATTTGTACAAAAAAGTCTTCACGACCGGCTACACTTCTCTGATGATAATCGCAGCTAGTTTACTATCACTGGGAATCCTAAGCAGCATAACCTTCGGGCAGCATGGCAACTTATTCATTTTTCACCCTGGAAAGACCATCTGCGTTAACGTGTACCGTAGCATGCTGACAGCACAAGTATACACCATTGTTTCTAGCGCCTTGTTCGTATTACTGCCTGCTGTAGTAATCGTATGGTGCTATGTGAAGGTGTTCACTGGAATACGAAAGCACTTCCGTCGACTGGCCACTCGGAAGATGTCAAGGGCCTCTCTCAACAGCCTTAATCCAGCAGAGATTGTTGTCACCCGCACCCTGTTTGCAATTGTCTTGGCTTTCTTCCTTTGTTGGATACCATGCATTGTCATAGATCTAATGGATATTATGAGGAACAAATGGTTCGACCGACGGGTGTACTTGGCTTACACCTACTTTGCTTACATCTCAAGTGCCGTAAACCCCTTCATATATGGCGTGATGAACAGGTCTTTCCGAGTGTTCTAAAACTTTTGAGATGCCGTTTAAAAAGTTAAAAGCGGCTAGAGTGAAAAACACTTAGAGAGGCAATGCACCAAAAATAAGTGAACTTGTACAGCAGAGTAGGAAGAAGTTCAACCCTGGAGTAGAAGAGATGACACTTTCATTCTTTTTGTATCGTATTATCAACGCGTATCTTTAATATTTCTGCATTAACCACAACAAGCGACGGGCAATTTTATCATTGGTTTTATTACAGTTAGAAAATTTTCGATATACTTATTTCCCATTGACCTGAAGCAAAATATGAAAAAGCTAAAAATATAGGAAACAATCCAAGATAAACTTTTACCAACTGAGCGAATTACAAGCTGACAACATTATTTTAGCAAACAAAAAAAAAAAGCAGGTATCCCCGTGGAAAACTTGTAGCTGACGCAAATCCTTCATTCTTAACGTTTACAAAATGCTAATTCTTTCTAAATGGTTATTTGTACTCAGCTGAGTATCAAATTACTAGTAAGTTTCAACACGAGTGGTATACTGTACTTATAATGCTAGAGTACGCTGGTTATTTTTGACGAGAGGTCGCTGCTCATCAGTGTTTTAATGTGTTCATTTCGTGTCGAATAGCTAGAAAGGTTTTGTAGCAATAAAAGGTTCAATTTATGGTATATTGACATTATAAGTAAGAACAATACAGCTGTTCAACAGGTTTAAGTAAAATTTTAATCAAAAGGTTTTTTTTTTCCCTGAAAGTCTAACATAAAGTACTTTTCCATTTTAAGTGCAAGATAAGCAGTATTATTTTTTTCTCAGAGGGCACGGTAACGGATCCTGCAATCTCATTGGTTCTTTACGCGGTACGTATTTTCCTATCTCTGCTTACGGGCAACGGTAATGCTTTCGTGAGTCGCCGAGTACATCCCTACCTTCGTTGCCATTTTTCATAAATATATCTCGTTTTTCCAGTTGGGCAGTATTTTTTTAGCAAAGACGTCGGTCACTACCTCAAGCCGATGAATCACTTATTAATCCTCTCTTTTCTCCCTCTCAAATCACTTCGGTTGACAGAAAAATATTGGTTTCAAAATAGTGTCATTACGTTGTTTGACAAGCGGCCTAAAAACCGTCTGTAATAAATTTTGATCGTCCATAAAAAGTACCTAGAAAGTTAAAACGTGAGGTATTTGGTTACAATTGAACTAATCGATGGAACTCTCATTCATTTAATATCTGAATTCTCTCAAACAATTTGTTTGTAGTGAAAGGGCGAGCGAAGTTTTAATTTCAATTCTACAACAGATATACGTTCTCGGTGAGTCTTTCCAAGGCCGTTCAATTTGTACCGTAAATTGAGCATTAAATCCCCTTTTGTCTCGTTGGAGTGTCTCATTCGAATTTAGCTTTTGTGGAGGAAAGACCAGATTTACACACGCCATTGCGGCAAACAAACGAGCTAATTTTCACAACTTCAGAATAAACAACTTGCATTTACTCACAATTACTTTCCCCGCCGTTTACTTAATGAACAGAAGTAAATCTTCGTACATGAATAAATCGTCGATGAGAGTGAATAATACTTCCCGTAAGATCATTGACTGTTTTTGAAGAAAACATTGTAGTGACAGTCCTTGCCAAACTAGTTTCGTGGAACAAAAGTCTGACACTTTTCATAATTGATTTTGTTTTGAAAACAATTCGTCAGTAAATCGAAAGTAATTCTATGATGATTATAACAGAGAATTTTGAAACAAAGATAAATTAGTAGCTCGAACCATACCAACACACTTCAAAAGCCACAATAAAATATTCAATACCCTCTCTCTCTACCAAGCTCATGTATTTTCAAAAGTTCCTATACCAACAGTGTATATATTGAAAGAGTTACTAAGATGAAAATGATCAGGATGGATATTAATGTGACTATATTTACACACCTGTTTCCATACATACACAAAATACACATTTGCTTACATAGATAGCCATTTTAGATCTTCCTAGCGCTCTTTCCGGCAGAAGGCAGCTGAACAAAACCTCCATTCTCGCGACTATGAATGTGCTTCACCTGTATGAGTTCTTCGCTTTACAAGCTGCCTGCCTTGTAGCGTCATGTTGTCTAATGACATAAAAACCACTGATAACCTCATCTTCACCAACGAATCCAAAGCAGCATGATAATAAGCAGCGCATGCGAAAAAAAAATAGTTAATTAACACCTACCTCTTCTGATATAACAAGAAATTTCTATTTGTGAGTAAAAGAAACCAGGTAAACAAGTTTTCTGTTTGAAGATGCGGAAACTGCTCGCAATCTTTTAATCTTCTGTATTTCAACGTTTCTCCATTTAATATTTCTAACACGAATCTCTGCGCAATTTTAATCCAAAGAATCTTATTTCTCCTCACCAAACTAAATAACTGTCCGCTGTAAACGAATATGGTCAAGAAACTATTACCTTTGAGATCGAGCGCATAGCAGCGTTACCTTTCGCACTGATCTTATAGTTGTTAACTCATAGCTTCAAGGCTGGGTTTTCAGATACATTTTGTCGTCATTACATTGTAGTGTGGCTGTAGCCAGGTGCTTGTAATAATTATAATTGAATTCAATAAAATAGAGCTTTCGATAATCAATAAAATGCATTCAGTTCAACGAACCCCTTGAATTTTGCATGTTCTCTAATGTGATATTTTTTTCCTTTTTTAACCAACCTGGGTCTGCCAATTACGTATAAGAAATTTCGATTGAGATCTGAATGGTCTCTTTTGCTCAAATAAGTGCATTCTGAATGAAACAAAATTTCAATTTTTGAAACAAAAAACTTCATAATTTATGGGAAGTTCAGTAATTGAGACTAAAAGTTAGATTTTAATTCGACATTGAATCTAATTCACCAAAAATAAAAGATATTTCGTAAAAGCACTGGTTTTATTGGCGTGGGAACAAGTAAGGTTTTGCAAGCACTTTGAAAAGGATATCCTTAGTAGAGTAGTGGTTCTTTGTTTCAAAAACAGCCATTGCTCTGCCCTAATTGATTTGCTTACTTACCACCACGAAATAAGACCGCATCCGCACAGTACAATAAGGTATTTATTTTATGTCTCGAATAGACAATACAAATAGACAGCACAATGGTGAACAGAAAGAGCTTTGTCACTTTCACCTTAACTTCTAAAGGTCTCCTTTTTTTTCTGTCAATCAAACAAGACTTTACTTGTTTCATTTGAACTTTCCTCGTCACAAGAATTTCAACACAATGCAGCTAACAGGTGGTTTGAAGAAGTACGAAATTGTCTGGGAAGTTCAGAAGAAACCGATGTCTGCCAACAATATATAAACTATTTTTATGAAGCTCAGTGCAATAATAGACTTTGCCATTTTGGAAATTTTGTGAAGGTCTCTTATTTGACTCTCGAAAAGTCATTACATTGCCAAACAACTTGATCGAACCCTGGCAGCTCGTAAAGAGAAGCCGAACACATAAAGCGGTAATGAAGTTCTATTATTAAATTGTACCTAGAAACTACCTTTAATTTTATTTAAAGGAAGCCTCGTTGACTTTACCATATATATTTTAATGATTACTTAATCAACTGGCGTTTAATTTGATTAGGTTTGTATCGAAATTTTGCCAGGATTGCTAGACAGTGAGTTTTAGTTTATACAGTGTACAATAAGAATGCCCTGTGATTGCTTTTATTCTCAGAGTCTTGTATGGGCACAGGTTGGATAATTTTTCTGAATTTCGAAACGTTCGAAACATGCTATATTTCTGATTCTCTAGGAAACCCATAACAACCTGAAATATTTTTCTAACCATTGATGTCTAGACATATTCTTAGATTTAAATGAAAGAAATTTAACAACAATGACCTCAGTTTATTAGAAATATCATGAACTTCAAATTGTTGCGGCTCTCTTAATCCAGCTAACACCTCTGAAATTTATGGACTCAACTTAAAAGACAATTTCTTCTTTAACTCGATCTAAGCGGTTACGGAGAGGGGAACTTTTTGGCTCCGCAGAATTAGCATGCAAGTGGAGCACGCGGTTTATGAAGTCCATACAACTGGTCACAGAATAAGATTGTGTACCGCCTTCATTCTTAATTTAGCTGTTACGATATGCACCATATCTTCCTTACTTTCCTTCATTTTGCAGCTCGCTCAATTTTTTTTGTTTCCGGATCAGTCCTGCGTATGATCTTAAGTTGCAAAACTTTACAGAGAGTTTTCTTTAAAACACATAAGCAAACCATAATAGGGGTATTTGTTACCTTTTGAAGTTTTCCATTGTCATATTTTGAAGTGGTTTATTGAAAGCCTTTGATTATTCAAGAGATGCATGAGCGTAAACAATGGGAAATAAGTGACTTTACGGGTTGTCCATGGTGAAGATATTGCTACAGAAACGGATCATTCGTTCTGAAAAATATCTCTTTTTTTTACGATGAGTCAAAAACTGAATCGTAGATTGCGGTGACCCTGAATTAAAAAAGGGAAGGAAAGATATTGTAAGGCAATTGAGTACTCTTCTTTTCTAGCAACATAAAATTATCGCTTTTGACTGATGGTCAATAGTGACTGAATCTTATGAAAGTAAATTGAATGTCTCATTCTTAAAGCTGGATACAAAACCTTAACTGCAAAAGGTCGCTTACTAAGTGATTGCACATAGCGAAATCTGGCCAAGATCAGAACGGGTTTTACGTAAACTAACATTAGCGCATCACTCTATTAAACAGTATCTGTTTTTCTTTCTCAGTCGATTCTATGGAAAGTGGAAAGGATTAAACTGATACATAACAAGTCGCAATGTATTCTTTGTAACCATACTTACTAGAAATATTTTTCCAATCAGTTCATATCTTGAAAACGACACGATGAGGAGAAATTCCGTTTGTTACGGAGTCGCACTGTTCTCCGTCAATTTATTTACGAAGGCAAAAAACTAAGTGATTTTTATAAGACATCTGAAGTTTTCTGTCTCCTTGCCTTTATTCGATAGAAAATACTTTTAAGAACTGCCAAAAATATAAAGGATATAAATGTCTAGCCAGTCTCAATGATCCGTTCAAACCAAAGGTCAATGTAGCAAGGAATTTTTCATCTACAATACAAAGAAGGTTTTAAGAAAAACGCAGTACGCCCTCACATATAAGTCCCAACATATGACAGTCATGATATTTTAAAAGTTTCATCCTCTATCTAAAGAAAAGAAGGAAAATTTTACCAAAGTTGCACTGATTCCCAAGCATTGCGGAGATTTTTTTTGTTTTTTTTTTTTTGTTTTTTGACAACGATGACGTTTTGTCTCTCATTGTTCCTTGGCCTTTTTTTTTTCTTCTTGAGCGACACAGCCGACTCGGTACCTTGCACTTTTAAATGAATTACAATCACTCTAAATCCTGAATTTTTGGCCAGGTAAGTGAAACAATTATTTCGATGTAGATGTCATTTACATCAGTTGGCTCGGGTGAAGCCCTTTCCAGAAATACAATCAACTTCTTGACACAACAGCGAATGTTGGCTAGCTTTTCTTGAAAAAAATTTATGAAAATGCATTTTATTTTTTATTCAGGTCGGTGAAAATGCATTTTCTTTTTTATTCATGTAGGTGAAAATGCATTTTCTTTTTTATTTATGTCGGTGAAAACGCGAAAAACGGGTAGCCACCAAAAGTTGAAAGCAGTGACAACAGGTTCTGGTACGTTTTAATTTCCATTCGGTGAGGGCACCCTGAAACAAAGTCCCGTTAGGACGTTTAGAATGTAGGAGTGAACAAAACGTAATCCTCAAACATGCTCTCTGTCTCGAAACTATCCTCCAGTAAAGGAGTATCTCTTAACTCGATATCAATTACAAGAAAAAAAAATAGTTAAATTTGTAACGACTACCGTATTTTCTAACCGAGTCAACGACTAGTGTCTGGTTAGTCAGACATTATATTTACTATTTAATTCAATCCCACGATTACGTTTATGAATTTCTAACAAATGGTCCTTCATTTCCACCATTGTCTCATTCCATTTGTCACTGGACTTTCTATATTCTTCTGTCAATTTTACGTCAACTTCTTTCAAGTAGGTGCAGTTAGTTTTTTGTTTATTTTCGAAAATTCGCACGGGTGACTTTTTCTCTTTTGAGATTCCTTTGAATCCCAGTGACAAGTTTATGAGATGATTTTTGAGTTTTGATACACAAATTTAATTTAGGAGTGAGGAGCATACTTGAAAACAAGGACTGAGATGTCTCTGTGCATTAAAGTTAACACTCTTTAAACAATACGGTGTGAAATGTTGATTAAACATTTTCAAAGTTAAAGTTGTCTTTTGACTGATGATACTGTCTACTAAACATCAATAGAAATAAGCACTTTGTTGAACGACTGGCAAAAACATTGCATTTTTTTTACCAGTAAAATTTAATAGAAGCTGATATTATTTCCGATACATTTGGTTGTGCTCGGAGGCTATGAGAAAAGAAATCAATTTTTATATACTATTACCGCATATCTAAAACTGTAGCATTCAAAATAAAAGTTTAGGCCTTTGTTCAGCAGCTTTCAAAAGTAGCGTTATTTTTGTGTTCTTTAACCTAGTCGTAACAAAACGAGGGAAAATAATCAACATATCAGATTAATAATTGCAGAAAACGTGATTCAAATTAAATTCCAATTATACAATTAGTTTTGTCAAGACAATACCTGAATATTTTTCCCGCGTGTTGTTTCGTCGTACCGGTCTGTGTTCTTCCTATCCTGAGCGACAACGTCATTTCTTACCGCTCAAAATGGCCAGATCGATTTTAAACGGTCTATCTCTTTCCAAGACAATTGTTGTCCAACTTTGAAGTTGGTAAAACGTTTAGAATGATTTAAATACGCCACAAGTCGAAAATTTCCGTGTGCAAAATGTTATTCTAGTCACGCTGTTAAACATGTGATCCGCTGTGAGACACCAGAGATTTTCGCCATTTAATTCGATGTTTTCATTTGTCAAATTTCCTCCTGCAGTTGCCGGTGGAGTCTCGTAGCAGTTGGTCTAAAAAATAATATCAAAAGAGGTCTCAGTTGTGTCCTACGACTTGGCAACGTGGATTTCATGAGGAAATTCGACGGGATACCGCGTGTCATGTTGGAAAGCTCTCTATATTTATGTGTTCTGCTGACATCGTGTTAAGATATTAATAGTTATGGTGACTAAAAATAAAAACTCTGCTCCACCCATTAATCCTGACCAAAGTCATGTTCCATTTGCAGTTCAAAGAGCGTAAGTTGTTGTGGTAAATTTGGCAAAACTTCGTAGCGAATCTTAAAACAAAAGCTATTGTGGCATTTCTATAACTCGATCCATGGGAACACGATCTCAACACCTGCCATACACCGAGGCCTTTAATGGCTCGTTCAAAAGCCAGTATTGTCTTGTTTATGTTGTACCGAGTAGACACAGAAAATTATCCTCTCTTTTGTCTTGCAGAAATCGATTTGCTTGAAAAAGTGGCAACTATTATATTTTTTCGAAAACGAGTTACTAAAAAGAGAATATGCGATTTGTTTCCCATTTTTTTTCCTCGGGTTAAAACGTCTTAACAAAGGGACATATTCGTTGCCTTTGGGAAGTGGATAAATTTTGGGAAACCGCCAGCTGAAAAGAAGAACCGGCACGTGTTTTCCTTTATTATTTCCATATCTGATCCTTCAATGAAGATGTAATTCCAGATCGCTTTGTTAACTTGTTGAGCCATGTTCACGCTTAGTTGATTCTTTTAACTTTTTCAAGTACCCAGCAGGCATGTAGATTTCCACCTCACGCGCGAGATATATACCTAAGTGTTAACCTACTTAACGCAAATTGTGTACAGGATGCGCGCATTTTCGTAATTCACAATGAATAATGTTTGAACGTCTGATAAGTAAATGCTCTTAATTCAAACGTCGGCGCGGCCTTGAATACGCCCGTCTGACGCGATAGCTAGGTTCGTATAGGTATTGTGTATTGTGTACACAGTAATTGAAATGCCCAGATTATAGCTAGTGAAAAAAAACATAGAAACTCGACCTTTGACAAGCCGAGAAAATTGCATTAAAATGGGTCTTGTCACACTCACCTAAAAGGAAAATAAAAACCACCCGCTGCCAGACGACGTTTTAAAGTCAAAATGAAGGGGTTTTAAAAGTGTATGTTAATATCCTTCCGTAGGACAAATTTAATGCTTGAGTGAAACAAAGAGTGCAATTTTAACTAGGTCTTTTGTGGTCCTCTCGTAAATTTTATTACCGTTTAGGGCTTGAACAATTCCATAATAAAACTGGTTTTGTCCATGTGAATAAAAAGCGAACTTCTGTACTTTGAATAAAGATTATGAGAGTCGTGATATATTGTTTAGTGTGTGGGCGAGTTCATTCGGTAGAGATAAGCCACACGTAGTGAATGAACAGTGAAAATTGGCCTCATGTTAAATATTGTGTTTTAAATAAAAACTAGCTTTGAACCTTTCAAGTCACAGTGGGTCATTTGTAAACACAACTCCTTCCTATGCAAAACTTTTTTTGTTATCTGTTCATTCAACGTCAAAACAAGGACGTCTTTAATGCTAATTAGCACAGCAGACAGCGTGTTTGTAGGGCTTTGCTTAAATATCCTCGGCGCCGTGCGTATTTGCCGAAAATCATCCAACTATTTTAGTCAGTCTCTTGAGCAACGATTTGGAGTCACCTTAGTTTTGAAACCCTTAAGTACCAGATAGTACACCAGACAAGATATTTTTCTTCCTTTTTTTGTTCATTGTGAATTAATAAATAAAACGTTCTAGGGAAACACTCGTCTTTAACAGTTCTTTAAACCATGAATTCACTCAATCCATGGGAGTTCCCGCCACCAGTCTCTTTCCCCATTTACTCATCTTACAAGACATCGTGCTTTGTTAATTATTCATCAACGTTCTCTAGTTTCTATTGTTCTATCGAACTCTTGCTCGTTAAATTCATGTGGGTAACCCATTCTTCTGCCAAATCAATAATTTATACCCGTCAAGATTCTTATAATAAACCACTTCTGTGGGAGCTCATTGAGACCCTCCATTGTTCATAACGTGGTTTCTTTTCATTCCAAGTGGCCCTATCCACAAACGAGAGGTTTGGACGACCTATAAAAGCCAACTTCTCAGGGTGACCGCACTCACTGTATTACCAACCACTTGGCGGTGAATTCGCATCGACATTTTGGAAACTGTACCACTTGAAAATAGATCAACAAGAATGACAAAACCCAGTGAGCACATAAAACGGCCCATGAATGCATACATGGTTTGGTCGCGTAAAGAGAGACGGCGCATCGCAGAGGAATGCCCTCGAATGTTGAATTCGGAAATAAGCAAGCGGCTTGGACTTGAATGGAACGCACTCTCGCCTGAAGCGAAAGATCCGTACGTAATAGAGGCGAAACGACTGAGGGAACAACATAAGAAGGATCACCCAGAGTATAAATATCAGCCTAAAAGGAAGCCTAAGGCTACACCCAAGTTGAAAACGCAAAGTTTAAATCCTTATGGCTATCATGACATGAGTGGGATGGGATATCCGTCCTCTTCGTCGCTTTGTAGCCCATTACCGCCAGGCCATTTGGTGCCTTCAGGTCCTATTTTTAGCAATTGCTCAGGAAACTGTACATTAGCGGAGCCTCCTCCGCCTTACCATTTCGCTCCTCATTACCCGGTTGTGCAGCCTATGACAGAAATAAAAGGACCTTGTTCGACCCATCTACCGCTTGTTGGCAGAGAAATATCTTGCGGACCTCCCATAGCTTACTCAAGCCATCATCCATCTATGTCGCATTCTATGCAAGTTGGACATGTGGTTCATCATCGAAGCGTTTTACCAGAATCCTCATCCTTAGTTCACGCCCCAACTGCCATTGACAGCAGAACGGGCATCCCAAGATCGTCCATGGATTTTGTTATGATGAGACCTGATGTTGGATATTAGTGAGAATTGCTCTGTTGTTGTTCCCCAAGATACGCAGACATCAAATTTCACCTAGCCGAGATGTTCATTTCCATACGCTAATGTCGATAAAACACGAATCACTTATTCGCCATAAAAGAGACTCGACCCTTTATAACATTTTTTTACTTTTCATTTATTGGGACAAATTAAATTTGTGTAGCAGAGGTGAGTCTGTGTAGTAAGTCGTTTCTAAGAACCGGGACTAAAGGATTATTATCGCTTTAATGGACATATTGAAATAAGAATTTAACAGGGATTAACCAAGTTGTATAGTTTAGTAGCTTATTTAAGTGTTTATTCATACAATAAAAACAATATACCAATTGAATTTGCAGTCTTCGTTCAAGCGGGCAGCGTGGCCGATTCGCTGGTTTCTTCGTTCTTGGATTACAGGTAGATTGGTTTCGCGGATCGATCTTACAATTTAGACACAATCTGCCACAAACCGAGAGGGCGTTTATCAAACAGAATAATTCTAGCTTGTAAACTCCGACGTTAAAAGTTATATAATTTCACAATGAAGCATAAACTCACTTTATCATTGTCAAACAGCCACACTTTGTTATTTCAAAGAACGTGTTCAATTCGACATGGCAACCAAAGACAAAAGGCCGTTGATAACACAAAACGAAACCTGTCGAGTCATGCCACCATACGCTATTTTGTTTCTTATCCTTGAATACGAATGTTTAGAAAGGAATTCAAAATGATCTGTGACTTAGATCCTACCATGAATGGGATAATTTCACGCAAAGATAATTCGGCTCAAGTAAGGCTAGTGTTTTCAGTTTGTTTCTTTGTCCCTATTCTTAAAACTCAGACGAAAGTAAAATTTCTCGCCCGGATTTGAAAAGATTGTTAACCTTAAAATTCGGATGTTTATTGGATAAAGCATCGCATGGAAGTCATCTTAAAACCATAACATGGTTTATTTGTTTTATGCCCTCTTTATAAAAATACCATAATTGAGTTATACGCGCTTAGTTTTCGGTTTTTATATCTGTTCAGAACTCAATTTTGTTCAGCTGAATAAAGTTTATTAATGAGCTTTTCCAAGTTAGGTACCACAGGGGCTTTTATGCCGGTCTTCTCTAAAATACCAGTCGCAGATCAGCGAGGAGGGAATCTTTCTCACTTCCTCTCTGACGACTTTAAAAATGTCTATTCGATTGCTCGTTTTATCAATTTTTTGTTTTACTTTTCTCTGAATCAAAATTATCACAGTAAGAAGTCGGAAACGCAGCATATGCCCTCCTCTTCAAGTCTTGCAGTGTGCACTCAAGGAACTGAATCCCTTTTGTATGCTGGCTTTTTGTAAAATGATTTCCTTTGAATAGAGAGGATGAAACATTAAGAGCTCGAAAGAAATCGCTCTAATCCTATTGTTGAAATAGTATTTCACGCGATGCACGCAACGTTAAGCTAAGATTGGAACAATTCGCTAACCTCCAACACATGAAAGGAGGCACAAATGGTATATAACTTACAAAATGCTACAAATACCTCCTGTTGTTCTCCTTATTTTAATTGTGAAGTATAGTCAATTTTAGATAACATATGGAAAGAATAAATCTTAAAAATTGTTTATTTCTATTGATGTGTTTTGTTACGTTTCAGGAGCGTATGTTAAATTGGGATAAATCGACCTTTTATTTAAACCTTTAGCACCTTCAGTGATAGATTCTAACTTGAACATGAAGATTTAATCATTTGGACCTAATTCTGGTAAATAAGACGTAATGATAATTAATTTCTAAATTCACAACGTCAAAATTTACATCTAACCCACATTCAGTGGGGAAATCACCCGCCTTTCCTTGCTCACAAAGTCTAAAGTTGCTCTTTGAAGCGAAGAGAATTGAAGATAAACACGCCATTGTTCATAATCTCAGTAACTTCTTTTAAACACGTTGTTTAGTTACAATTCTAACTCTTACCATTCAAACTGTTGTTGCGATTTGTTTGTTTTGTAAAAAGCGCATAAATGAACGAAAGTCGGCAGTTTATTTTTATCGATACTTCTCAGAGTCCTTTTTGAATAGTCTTAGACAAGCCACAAACATATGTCTTCAGGAAAAAAAACTACGGATGCAAAACACGTGGAACTGAATTTTCAATCGGAGACAGTTGCAATGGTAATTCGTTCACTATGGGAGGCCGGAATGGAGCTCACTCCTAACTTGAAAAGGAAAGAGGTGGTTAGTTTTTTTTTTCCATGTTAATCATGAGGGCACATTAGTATTTGGGTTAGCTGCTCGCCTTTTCACCTAATCGAAAAACGCATTTGTTGAAGGACAATGTGAAGAACAAAAGGCTTTGACAATAACTGCAGGTTGGTTCGACAATGGTAACCGGTGGTGTATAGAAAAGAAATGGAATTGAAGAATTTGAATACATAACACTTTTATGAAGGTGGCATCAAATTGATGGAGAATGCAGCAATCTGATCCTCTTTAAACTTTCAATTTTCTGGTAATCTTGCAGACTTTCAAGACAAAGACGGAACGAGATTTTCTATTTTAATGAAAGCGGTGTCTTTTTGTCGATGTCGGCGAGCGCTCATAAGATATGCTTGGTTGCATGTAAGTAAACATGTCGTTGATAGTTTATATTCAGGTGAGTCAGGGGAAATTTGTAAGCCTCATCTTTAACTGCAACAGTCGATTGTAGAAGACAAAGGAAGCTACACAAACAAACTCTTAATAGCGGTTTCTTGAAACAATTCGAAAGTCTCCCACTCATTCGATTTTCTCTTCATTTATTATTTCTTCTGTTAAAATTAACAAGGCCTGTGATCTAACGAGATGAAATCACAGTTGCCAGTAAGTTTTTGAATTGTGTTTACATCGTTCTTTTATTATCATCAGCAATAAAATTACCATTTGATAACTTCGTAATAAGTTCCAAGCTTTTTTCTTGCTCTGCTTAGTTCGCGACTGTTTTTCAGCCTCAAGGACCCACCGCGTCTCGATCTCTACCTTAACACGATAAACTTCCATTGTGTAGCAATGGTATGTCAATTACTCATTACCGCTGGAAGAAAAATTGACGAAAATAATTTTGAAAATATTTAACTTTGCACCATGGAATATCAGTCAACGCTTTTAAGTTCCACATTTTATTTTTTCCAATAAACATACTGTTAGATCTTTTTGACAAAGCGAATGTCTAAAGTGACTTGTAACATGACCTCGTTTAAAGATTGACAACCTCAAGGGGGCGTTTCCTTTTTCACTCGGACAGGTACCAAACGGGCGGTCCATTAGCTACGGCTTACATATCTTGGGTTTCAAACCGTGCTGCATACAACAGAGGACTTTGATAATTAAATGCGAGAGGCAGCAGACTATAACAGTAATATTTTGTTACTTTTAATATTTTTTTAGTAGTTAAAAAATCTAGGGAAGAAACTTTCTGTGGAATGTGGTACTAATGAAAACTGAAGTGCATGTTTCGGAAAATTCTTATAAAACTACCAGTCGAATCAAATTCGCTGAACCCAGGTCTTTGTTTCTCATTTTCACAGACTTAAATTTATGTCTGTGTTGTAGGTTAAACCGGTGAGCGATTTGAAGACAGCAATTCATAATATTTCTCTTGAGTACTAGATCTATTTAATAATTATTCTAGACGACTGAAAGAGATACTTGGATGCACCCATCACACCACGTCAAGCGAAATAATAAAAACCACAGATATGATGAAGAAATGATGTGAGGGAGTGTCCAGCAACAAGGAAAAATTTTAATTTCAGTGGTCATTCATTTGCAAGTTAAACCACGAAATGAAAAAAGAATAGTGATATCTCCTCCTGATTCTCTACAGCTGTATAGGTTTCATCATCACATTGATATTGAAAAGAGAACTTACATATGGATCACTTCCTCATTAATGAAAGAGTTAAGCGAATACTTAACGAGGAAAACTCGAACTTAAACTTTTTTGTAATGAGCTGGATCGCATTTGATTAAAAAGTTTGCTTCTCTGTTCGGGTCTTACTCTTCCCAAAGCTTTGAATCTGTTCGTTGCAACATCTCAATGCGGCACGTACTTTTGCATCCATAATCGTTTCTTAAGAATGTTAGCATGTGTTATGCAATTTAGGAAGAAATAACAACAGATTGAATTCAGAAAGACTAGACATGTTGGTGCACCAAACTCGTCTTAGAATCCTGTGGCGCTGGATTAGCTTTTTCTAAAATGCGTCGTCTTTTTCCCTTAGCCCTCAACAGCGTCGCTGTTGCTCCTTAGGAAACAAACGTTAGAGCTGGAAACGGAGCAAATTTCATGATTTACATTGTTTAGTTCTGACAGCGTAATGATCTCATTTCAACGATGTTACAGTAAATGTTCCGGGAAAAACGCAGTTGCTTTCATCAGAAAAGCCAAATCGTTAGTAATATGGTCTGATACTCAAGGAATAAAAGAAAATACTTACTCCTTTGAAATTTGTGTTTTAGGATATCTATTCATTTTGATGGATTTGTTAGCTTTTTCTTCGTTACAGTAGTATATTGTATTTTGTTCACGATCCAAACGCAATAAATCTAACTGCACAGTTTACTATTTTCATGTTCGTCTAGGTATTTTCTCCAGGCAAACAAGAGAACAAGTCGAGGAAAGGTCAGACTTGTCCCCATGAAATCGCTGGAAAAGAAACCTTGAGAGGCTTTTTCATTATTGAAATAGAACTGAACCCGTCTCGTGAATAGACACAACACAATCATGGTGTGAATCTGAAACCCCAAGGCTGAACTGCAGGGCAGACTGCTAAATGAAAGCCTAACAGCCTAAAGCAATTCGCAGTTTGTCACCTTTGAGCCATTCATAATCATCCCTAACTATTCTATCAATTATATGAACGTCAGCCTTGATCTCTAAAGAGTATCCGTGGCTCAATGGTAGAGCATCGAAGCGCGGAAATCTGTAAGTCTAGGGTTCAATTCCTCACAAGGACTCAGAATTTCTTCTTGTCCCAC